CCTCAAGTCTCATTTGAGAAGGTATGGAACATTCCTGTGATCTAGCGTGTGCCAGGATTTGTCTGCACGGAATTGCGTTTCCGATACCCATGGCTATGGCCCCCTCCCCTCAGGTACAAAAGGTATTTTATCCGGAGTCGAGGAAAGGAGGGGTCGTTTGTTAGCGCGCACCCTTGCAATTGAGCCTCTTTTCCCTTCCAAGAACTCCCGCCACGTGTGCAGCTTAACAACGGGCCCCGGGTGCTTAGTAAGGACTACTAATTTCAAAATAAAGACGTTTCGTCAGCGCATACATTTATTGTAACTTGAGAATCCAGTCATGACTTATGGGTATTTCTGTTTACGTGGGATGCAAGAGAGTGTTTGATCCACGAACACCCCAGAACACCATCGTCCCCTCGGCCCAGGTCGTCCAAGCCCCGAGCCGCGAACTGGAATCCCTCTCAACGCCATGACTGCCAAGCCCCGGAGGACTCTCACCCCACTGGCCGGAGTCATGTACACACACACCTACGCCGCTCAACCAGGGGGGAAGGATAGAAAGGCCATCGTCATACCTCTCTCTCATCTCGACATTCTCATCGGTAGCTTTGAAATCATTTACATATCACGCAGGCTGATGTCGCGATTTCGTAAGGAAGGTTGGATCACACCTTCAGGTGTACAGCACAAGGCACTATATCCTCGGACTCACCGACACGACGTTTCGTGCTGCGGGTCACTGAGATCCGGCTTTACAACAAGGCGAACGCGAAGTCGCTGCCATCTCCCTCAGGACTCCAAGTCCACTCTTTTATTAAAAGTGACGATGTCATTCTCACAGCCGACGAGAGCTTTATTTTCGATGAGCCCGCCTTGAGTTCGGGCCGTTGTCCGTTATGTACCACTTCGCTTTCTTTGCGCTCTATCATCTTATCCTGAAATAACTCTGCTCAACACAAGGCTTTATGCAGGCTCAGATATCCATGGACTTTCCGCGAAGGGTTTATGATGAGGCACATACACTGCTGGATGCTGGATGCAGTGGGCGCAGTCTAAGACGGTGTGTAAAGCAGGACGCCCGTTCCTCCACGCCTGACTCATCCGCGCATCATGCCCATAAGGTCCATTGTTCTGACTTGGACGAACACCCAGGTTTTCTCTAAAGCCTGTAAAATAGAATGCGTGATCTCCGTTGAACCCAGTAGTCTAGGTCTGGAGACGAGCGCAGATTGTCACACGTTCCGGGTCCGACCAACTCAAGAATGGATGCACTTTTTACACAAAGTAGTGCCAGAATGTTCAATTTGGGCTATATCCCGGGCACGCACGCAGTCTCAGCCAGCCGTTGTGCTAGATTAGCACCACACGTCGCTCATGGCTTTTGCATGCGCTGAGTTGATCCAAATGCTGTAGTGATGGCGCACGCCCTCCACTGACAGTTTGTTTTGCTGTTTGACAACGATACTCGCAAACTCGGAGCTGTGGTAAGCACCGCTGGTATTGGGGCCAGTGTACAAGCGAACGTTGTCCCAAACCAGCCATATGACGGGCCTGGCAAGCTGGCAGGCCAAGCCTTTCGAGATGCTTGGGCTGGAAAACTGTCGAATACATGAATGCTTTAAGCTCAAGAGCAGCCCAGGTGCTTTCCACTAACGCCCTGGACGCATGTGGCATAGCTGATGTGCGGTAGAAGCCCGAACTGTGTTCATTCGTGACACCAAGGCATGGTATCTTGCCCCATCTCCCCGGCCTTCCTGCGGCGGAGATCATCCGACATGTCAAAGACGGTGATGTTGTCGTTATTTTCGTTGTATCTTGGAACGCTAGCAGGGGAGCGAGTGAAGAGAATTGTTTAACGAAGTCGGTGTCTTTTACTCGTCACAGTGGGGACGATTCATGAAAGTCTTTCGATGTTTGGTAAGCGCAGTAACGTGTCGCCGGAGGAGTCGCATCCAAGGTTGTGATCACTGATTAAGTAGTAGGTGGTATCCCTCCTGCACAGCTGGCTCGGCCGATTTTGTAAGGGAGTCGAAGAGACTACCAGAATGACGGCTAGGTATCTTTGCGTCGAAGAGGCTCTGTTCTATGGAAGGCAGAGGGAGGCTTGGTCAGACGAAAGAGGTGCCAAAGGATTGTCATACGATGACCATTCCTGGGTGTGCCTCACTTGCACTGATCTCAAGACTATCATTTGAGTACTGGGCCACTCGAGCGTTCAAGTATCTTCACATGAGTTTACACGTTCTACAACCACACATCAAAACTTTTCCCAAGAACCATTCCCACAGACTGCATCAAGATCCGCGAGATACGAGCACAGAAAGCCCCCCGTGTATAGCAAAGGGACACCCTTTCTGAACTTCCCCCCCCCCCCGATCCACCGAGAAGCATCTCCGCTACTTCGCGGCAGTCTGAAGCAGAGAGCTTTGAAACTTGGTTCAGCTCACATGCCTCTTCTGACTTGAGGTCGACGGTGGCTTTGACAGCCAAGGTTCGCCGAAAACAAAGTCATACATCGAATGGATCAACACTTGGGTGACATTCTGGCTGAACTCCAGGCTGTCTGTTGTTGCTTTGCAGGTCTGTGGTGGAGAAGAGATTCAAGCAAGTTAGAGAAGCCCATGTAACAAGTTGGGGAGCAATAAATACATTGAAGGACCAACCCAAAGGAAAACCCGACACCAAGAGAACGGTCAAGATTTTGGAGATGATGAAAGCGACGAACCTTAATAGGGGCAGGTCAGCCGGGTCGATATAACTCTACTGCAGAGAATCAAGAGGGAAGTCCGGTACTCGCGTGCCCCTATGTCATACCCTATCACGCCCGGAAATAACAAAACATCAAGTGCTCAAGCAGAGGCTGGCCATCCGTACACCGCCTCAAGTAAGGATGCCCCTCCTCCCCGAAGAATATAAATAGAACGATTGTCTACGAGGTAATCAGAAAAGATCCAAGGTGGTTCGTCTGTTTGTCTCAGGGAGCATATATACAGATGCTGTGGTCTACCAACATTCCGGTGCCTTCGATGCCTCGACTCCTTCAAAGTGTCTACTTAGTTGACAGAGCATCTGCAGGCGGCAACGTCTTGCGACGTTATTAAAGATTGAGACGAGGATGACAAGATCGATCAAGACCAAGTCCAGCAGGTGCGTTTACAGAACCTTAGAAGCGAAACCGGCAATCGGACACCGAAGTGGGCAAATGGATTCATATCTATGAAAGACTGTTTGCAGATGATGATTCTGTTCCCTCGCATCATAAGTAATCAGGATCGTTTGCAGTCCTGCTCAGCCATAACCAGCAAGAGTGAGAAAGAGCCTGTGGCCCATAACTTGAAGAGCTGACAATGAAAGACTTCGAAAAAAACAGACACCCACGAGACTCTCTAAATAGCGATAAACGAGCATGCTGTTCGGAAAGCGCTTCGTCAGATACAATAACAAGTTGAGGAGCTGATGGATTCGATATTTCAAAAGGTCACCACTGCTACCTAGGTACATGGCTCGAGGAACTCAGGCTTGCCGTCCTGTGCCAGTTGTACACCAGCTTTCCAATGACAGCATTTGGCGAGAGTGGACCAAGTCCACTCATCGAGCAAACTGTTATCGACCGGTCAAACCTTACATCTGGGTACAATTATGCCTACCGTCAACATTCCCATCAAGGCAATCATGAACAAAATCAGAATACTTTACGCATTCTAGACCATGACTTCCTCCAAATAACTCCAGACCTTCCACTAACTTCCGCAAATGTCCCCTATCACATCCTCACATGGTAGTGTCCAAGGGGAGCCAAGATCTGGCCCATTCAGATTAATTTCGACCTATGAGGATACTAATTTGTCTTTTCAAGCCTCGGGAGGCGGGAACAATGGGTCCGCAGACACGAGATTCTTTATTCACGATACCACAGGTCCATGTGAATAAGACTCGCATTCATTCGAACGGCCAGGTAATCAGAATGCGCAGGCGGCGGCTGCTAATACAGGATGTCGTCCAACGGCAATGGCAATGGCAAGGCCGCAAGGTTGAAAGGGGCGAGGCGGAAGAAGCAACTTGGCAGCTTTACTGAGAGTGGACAATCCAAATGTCACCTGGGCAGACGAAGTAATGAAGCTTCTGTGCCGGAAATGGTGCTGCCTGGTATGATAGCTACCTACCTAGGTGCCTGGGTAGGCATTAATTATTGAAAGGACCTGGCCGACTTGTGAAATCTCAAGGTCTAGGCTTCGCACCAGTTGATGCAGGTGACCAATTTGGCCTTTGTTCTACGAGTTCATTTACGTGTACATGGATGGTGCATATTTTGGTGTACATGTGTATCGTGGTCTTATTTACGCAAGGGGTCTTGGGAATACGCAGCCTTTTGTATGGAGCCAGCCCTGCTTATTGTCGGCTGGAGAGGTTTAGCGAGTATTTATACGAATTCTATGATCACCCATGCTGCTCTAACATCGCGTGGGATGGGCGAGTTTTCAGCAGCCTGAACGGTGATGTTGGGATGACAACGTAATGGAAAGGACATAAGAGATAGTTGCTACAAGAGACAGGTGAAGTCGCACTTTTGTATATCCGTTCCGAGGCCGTCTGTGCGTGATCATGTTTGTGCATATACTATGTACTATGAAGTACAGGGTGAACTTGCTGCAGCCAACGTCTTCAGCTCCCATGAGCACCAGCGAGCCCAATAGATAGCGAAGGACCTTTCTGGATGTACTCCTATCTTCTACCTATAGAAAAAGACCGGACATCTGTTCGGCTGCCTTTGACACCGAGACATTGGGCAGACAGGCCGACTTACCTATGATTCGCCCAGAGGCTTTCGTGGGAGTACCTTGGTCCGACATGGCTTCCACCCGTCTAAGCGCACGCTTACATAAGCGCTTTGAAAGAAGACGCAACTTCGTACACCTCTCAGCCCGCCAGCCGGGCGATGAGCAGTCCGAGAGACATAGCAAGCCACACAATTGTCCGTTTTAAAAAATAAAAAGCACGCATGATAGCGCTAAATGCTATGATCCGTGCAGGGGTCGAACCTGCAATCTCCTGATTATAGCGCTCACGTATGAGTCGTAGTCAGACGCCTTGCCATTGGGCCAACGGACCATTTTGTGGTGTTGAGGACTTTGCAGAACTCGGACCCCATATAGACCAAATTTAGAATGCGGGGTGAGCCGTAGTGGCGGGCCGGTCATGCACGCTTACATAATTGTGCGCGTGGTCTTTGGCGCTAACGCCGATCCAAGTGATTACGTCAGAAAGCGACTTGTGCCAGCCAGGACGCTGTGTTGACAGCACCGCGCGTGCGTGATGACTTGATGAAAAAGATTGAGAGAGGGGGTAGAGAGAGTCCTCCAGGCTCCGATAGCCTTTGATAGAGTCTGATGGATGAGAAAATGTGTGCGCGGTTGGACCGTTGATGAAAGGGTGAGTGCAGCTCCCTGTCAAGGGCCGTGGCGAGTCTGTTGTGATTGTGAAGAGAACAGATGGGATCGTCTAGTGGTATGATTTGACTGCGAGAAAGGCCTGGACTTGCGTCGAAAGCTTGAGTAAAAAATCCGAGTTGCTCCATGGCTGTCTGTTTGTATAAAAAAGATGCTAGGTATTCAGGTAGGATGCCGTAGCAGCGGAACTGTCGGCCTCTAGATGGCTCGTGCTTTCCGTCATCGCACCTGCCCACAGCCTCTCGATACTCATATGTACTCGTGGGATGCCGGATTGTCGAAGTGTAAAAAAGTTTCTCTTTCAAGAAAAGTTTATAGACCCGATCTGGACTCCAATACGTGCATGTGAAAGAAAATTGTTTGAGCAACGTCGGCTGTGACTTGGTATGTGTATTTAGCACCTGGAAAAGTCGACAGTTTCCTTCAACGGCGGCAGGTCTCGACGCTCAAGACACTTCGAGATCTCGTTTGCCCAGCTCACTCACTGCACTTTTTGGCGACTACCTGCCGCTTAACCAGGGAACCGCCGCTCTGACCTCTGTAACGGCGATGGTTAAATCGAGACTCATGCTTGGAATAACAAGGTGATATCCTGGATATGTAGAATTAGTTTCTACAATAAGTCACTACATGTATTGCAACTAGTGTATTTGAATTCAACGATAAGATCAACTACAGTACTTTACGGAGATCTTGCTTCAAAGGTTTCCGCACATTGTTATACCTGTCTCTGTTCCCTAAAGTCAATCCCAAGATGTGGAGCGTCTACGAGATAATCTCAATCACACTCTCGCACCCCTCCCCTCCACTAAAAATCCCACCAATCTTCAGTCCAGCACGAGCAATCAACTCCTTCCATTCCCTCTCGGACCTCTCATGCGCCGAAACCAGCGTCATCATCAGCAGATCCAGCGAGAGCGGCCGCCAATCCGGATTCTCGTCCTTGACCACATACTCATTAAGTAGGATCTTTGAGTAGCCCGGCTCCATGACCGCCTTCAGGTGGCTCAGAATCTCCAAACACTTGTCGTCAGGCCAGTCATGAAGAACCGAGCGCATGTAGTATGCGCGCGCGCCCTTGATAGGTTGCTCGGTGAAGAAATCGTGGGCTTGGGCTTCGATGCGACCGTCTGCGCCCAGCCCGCGGGATTTGGCAAGTTCGACGACATGTGCACGTTCTTGAAGGATGAGTCGGCCGGTGTACTCTGGGTTCCTTGTTTGCAGCTCTGTATTTGTGTACGTGATCGTTAGGTAGAGTCGGTGGCCTTTCGCGGCCTGCCTGGGTAGTCAGAAGTAAGTGATCACCTTGTAAAATGTAGCCCATGCTACCGCCCACATCGATGAAGGCAGAAGAGTCGCCATTCGGCTTCAAGCCTTTGACGAGGCGGTCTGAAATGGGGTAAATTTCAGTCCAGTGAGGCTGATGCTTGCGTGAGCCATCTACAACAAAAAGAGGTCAGCCTTCCCAAGTCTGCCAGAATACACAGCTATCCCCACTCAAGAATGTCATGCTGGGAGACCATCAGAAGAGTGCTTACGAATATAAGCATGGAATGCTTGAAACGCTGGAAGATTATCCTTCGGGTTCATGTCCGTGAATGGATAATCGACACCATTCGCATAAGGCCACGCGCCTGCTTTCGGGTCCTCTGGGTTCTGGAAGCCCGTCTTGCGCAGGAACTCGGGCAGCTTCGCAAAGGCCAACTGTGCAATATCATAGTGGAAAACGATACCGCCACGCCACTCCGGCTGCGCGAGGGTATGCGTCATCTTGTTGGGAACATAATGGTCCGGTCCTTTTTGGTCGAGAAATTGCATGGACATACACATGCGAAGCAATGCGTTCCGTGAGCTTGGTTGAGGCCCCAGTGGGAGCAGCGAGCTCGGTGGCGGTCTTTGGTCGCTCGTTATCTGAGATGGCGGTCTCAAACAACATCAGGTCGATGGCAATGCGTGCAGCGGCCATACGGGCCGGCTAGTATCTGAGTTACAAACGTTGAACAACAGGTCACATCTCGGATATCCAGACCCACTTACCTGGGCCCAGAAAGACCAAGCAGCTTGGTTTTGAGGTGATTCAGATGTGTAGACGAGCTCCCGAGCGCGGGCGGCCAAGTTTTCTTGTGAGCCCGGCTTCCCTGCCATCAGCTCCTGGCCTGCTGAGGCGACGTTCGCAAGGGCTCTCTGAACACCATCCTGTTGTCCGAGGCTCTTGCCTATCTCTCCTGCCATACTGTGCGGTGAGTGCCCTTGGGTCCCTGTCTTTCGAGGGGCTGGATAAAAGGCTGGAAAGATGTCTTGAATAGATGTTACTACATGCGCCGACTTTCTCGTGGTTCATCGACGCACAGTTCCTCAAGTCCATACGACCGATGATAGTGCCGCTTATGGATACTTGTATAGGATCCTCGAAATAGCTCAGCGGAACTCGATACCTAGGTATTCCTTACGATTATCCTAACCCAATCAGGCATTCAGAAGCCACACAGGAAGGACGACTGCAGCGTCGCAGGCTGCGGCACAGCATCATCAAGGAAACAAGCTTGGTGAACCCACATGGGAGCGCCAGAAAGGAATACTGCAGCTAGCCACGAACCCGATCGGACGCTGCTGCCAAAGGTCCTCAATAGGAACAAAATCTACACTAATGTATGTCCCCACGAGCCGTTGACCCTTTGCGTTATTGCTTATCTGTATTCAACGCCATGCAAGTTGGTGTCAGCCCCCTTAGCTTCATCAGCTAGGTCCAGTACCTGATGCATTGTTGGCTTGCTTCGGATGGCAAAGCACCTGGTAGGCAGACTGTATCATTGTGCGTGAAACCACGAAAACTGACATCAGGTAATCCGGCAAATGCCCAGGTCACTCTTCACCCTCGCGCCCTTCGTGCAAGTAGTTGAACTGAGGCCAGAATTATACCACTAATGATGCCGATTTTGATTCTTCAGACAACGGACAACCCCATACGCTGATTAACTGCAAGCGGCAGCCCACGAGAGTATCCAAGGGCTTGAAACAGGTAGCGCCGACCCGAAAGGCCCAAACGATTGGCACACACACATCTTTGCATTCAAACGCACGAGAAAACTAAGATCCAGATGATAAAGAGCATGGAGTCTCTAAACACTTCGCTAATATACTACATTCCATTCTGTGGCTATCGTCTGTTGCATCGAACTGGTTGGCTCCCTGTGTAAGCAAATATATGGTGCCCATTTTGCGCCAAAGCCCAGAAGCTTAGACAAGCTGGACACTTGATAAAATGATGGACCCAAGTTACGGAGAAGAGTGATGTCCTAGCATAAGGCGCTACCACTTTGCCCAATAAACATGCTGCCAGATACTCGGGGAGGGCTCCGCAGGGCCAGAAGACGGAGACTCGTATCGATCCCGCATAATCAACTTTTCAGCTCGCTCCTTCAATTCCTTATCCTTTGATCCAGCAAGTCTCTCGTCCACACTTGTACGCCTATCCCATTTCCAGGGTGAGACTAGTTGGGCGTAGAACCTATCGAGCGGGCCCAGGCGGGCTAAGTTGCTGATGATGCTCATATAGCCTGCGATGATCTGTCCCCCTTCTCCTTTGGCAATAAAGTCCCTGGGCCACGTATCATACCCGTTCACGTCTGCCATGACCACCCGTATCGTCAGACCAGAAACGTTGAGACGATCCCTAGCCCAGTCGAGAGTGTCGGCCCAGTCTTTCAAGGCGGGATGGCCCTCCTGCGGCCAATTTTCGGCGTTGTAGGGGGGGAATACCAACTCAAGAGAGCGCAGGTAGCTTATACAATGCGAAGGAATGATGCTTTTTAGAAAAATGCTTGCCGAGAATTTGGGGAACGGATATCCTGGTCCGATCGATGTCTCGTCTGGGACTTCGTAGGGAGGGTAGGCATGTAGATCGTGTATAATGAAACGGTTTCTCGAGAAGAAGATGGCTTTTGCGTCCCGATATATGGTTCGACAGATCAGAAAAAGCGACTGAGGCGGCTGCCAGCACCTGCATGACTGTGACGATGAGTAGGCACTGTGGACGACGCGGCAAAAACAACCCGTCGTGGGCTGCTCGAGTGAGGTTTCCCAGCACTGATGGAATTGGCAGCCATAGTGTCTGCTCGGTGGGCAGTCGTAACCTTCGCCCACCATGTCTTCGCAATAGGTCCAGGTACAGGAAAAGCCTTTCTGTTGCCTACACCAGGTCACTTCGGTCCAAGGAGTGACCAGGTCGGTGTACTCCAGGATTTGTAGGCGGAGTTCCCTGGGGAGTGTGATCCAGGGAGATGATTTAGGCGCCGTCGAGTTTGGATGCTGCAGGCTCGTCGTTGAAGAGGGCAGTGGAAGCCTTTTGCGTGCCCGGAGCACTGTATTGTAGGCTAGCTCCTGGAGATTAGGGTCTGGAGTCTTGCACAGACGAAGGGAGCAGTCTCGAAGCTCCGAAAGACGTAGCAATGAGGCTGTTGCTGCCATAGCCACCTGCATGCCCGCATCGGATGGGCAGACATCGCAGACAATGGCAAGAGCAAGCATGCCTGGGGATGTTGCGGACGCCAGATGCGCTGCCGTCAAGTCCCAGTCGGCAAGCAAAGCATCTGCGCTCGAGTCGAGCGGGGAGTCATGACAATGGTGCTTTTTGCACCAATTCATCGGAGCGATAAATTTAGG